TCTACAGCTCCCTCAACAGTCTGCGCAATCACAAGAGCATCTACCATCGCAACCTCAAGCAGCCCAAGCAGGAGCCAGCCGGCGCAGCCAATCAGCAATCGGCCAACAGCTACTACCACCAGCAGTTGAATCACCATCATTCGTCCTCATAGAATTTCATGTACTTTGACTATCAGCAGGCGGATGCGAACTTTTGAAGCTGAGCTGAGGAGTGCATAGCAGCGTGCATACATATGCATACATACATACATACATACATGTGCACATGCGGACATGTATGTGTGGGGAAAGAGCAAGAGAGTAAAGAAAATCTTTGTTAAGTTTGTGAAAATGCGAGTTCAATTTGCAAATGAGTTTGACTCTTTTTATCATTATAATCAAATTATAACAACTTATATATACATACATACATGTCAATATACGTATGTAGACACATCTATACACAGATATGTGCATCAAAGCTGCCTATCGAGATGGATAAAAACAAGTCAAGATATTATTAAATATTGATATTTTATAAAAATTACAAGAATGAAGAAATCCAATAAGCCCTATCGCCTCGCCTACAAATCATGTGTATACCATCTAGATATGATCTAAAGATTAAGCTATTCTTCGTAGGTCTGGCTGATAATATCTATATATATCTATTCCTGTCTAAATAGCCAAATCATTTCTCACGAAACAAAAGTAAAACATTTTTAAGAAAAGCTACAAATTAAAGCATATGAGGATATAATGATATGATGAGGAAGCAAGTTACATAGATTTGATCGAGAATAAGGCTAAGTGCGCAGCACTGACCCTAACGCCTCTGTTGCTAAATTGTAGGCAGAGGTTAAAGAGCGGATAAGAACAGGTGTTGATTTGGGCAGCGCTAATATGCATGCATATATACAATATACACGCACACACTCACACGCACATGCCCGACATTTACAGAATAGTTGGATGGAAAGAGAGGGAATCGTAATTCTCTCTCTTGTTGCAACAAGCACTGCCTCTGTATCCACTCAATGTACACGCTGATGTATTTGTCCCGGGCAGAGGAAATAAATAATGAAATAAAAAAATAATTTCAGTCTAGGCTAGTAACACTTAGTTGCCTTTTGTAGCTTAAGCCGAAACAGATAACGTTAAATATGGAAGATATTGATAAAGATAAAGATGAAGATGCAGATTGAGATGAAGATACAAATACAGATACTGATACAGATTCATAGACATATATACATATGTAGATATGGCTGCAAGCAGCACTTGCTTTAAGCTATGCTCCAGTTATTATTCTATATATATAGCACTTCACATCAATTTTTGTCCATTTGTCTTGTTTATATATGTATATATACATATATATACATATACATGTATTGATTTGTAGTAAAGAGAAATGAAAAATTACAAAAGGTGCCGGTAGTGAATTCTTCAAAATGGCTTTAATAAAATTTAAAAAATTATATAAAAAGAAATATTAAAACAAATTACATGTTAGGAATACAAATACAGATACTAAGTAAATTAGTTAGGCCTAAGCAGCGCAAATCAAATCGCAGTTGTGCAAATTGTAGCCTTTAAATCTTTGTATACATCATTAAGACCAAGCTCATGATTTTTTTTTTCGTAATTGTTATACATAGCATAGACTTACATACAAGCGATACAATTGATATGTATTTATATAGATGATATATACATACACATATATATCAGGATTTAGCGACCGACCGAACGACCGACCAATGGAGCATGATGATTTACTATATATATATACATATACATACATATACACATATGTAGGGATATAAGCTAAGCACACACATACACACGTTCACATGTACATCCATATATATATATATATATATATATATATATATATATATATATATATATATATATATATATATATATATATATATATATATATATATATATATATATATATATATATATATATATATATATATAATATTTTATAGGTATAATTTAAACATTTTTATATAAAGAAATCGTATTACTATACAATTTTCATTATACATACATACATATGTACATGCATACATATATATGAAATCTGTTAACACGTAGGGTAAATTCTGTTTTTTTTTTTTCAATATACATATATTTTTTATATTAGTCTTAAGAGAATAAGAAAAAACTTGTAGATACATACATACATATACTTATACACACATACACATGCCCACATGTAATATGTTAACCGGATACTTTATGAGTGCACCTGTGTTCGTTAGACTTTATAAGTTTTTTTTTATTAGGTAAGACCCAATGCCTAAAGCAAATAAGTACACGTTCACACACACACATACACACACACACTCACACACATACACACACTCACACACGCACACATACACATACACATCGACATACATTTAACGTAGCTGAATGAATGTAAGCAAATTGCAATTGCAACAGAAATCGAAAACTTTTAATTATTAATCTAATAATAATAATAATAATAATAATAATAATAATAATAAAAAATCTACACAGAAAATGAAAATAAATATATTTTGATTTAAACAGCTCTTAAGTTCAGTATGTTATGTAAGTAAGGCTTACTTACGCGGCAGATCGAACGATCGCTCGTTCGACTCAGATCTCTTGCAAAGCTAGTTCAAGCAATCAATCAATCAGTAAAATCATATCTTAAAATCATCACACATATTCTCACATATCTAACACCCACTCACACACGCACACACACACACATTCATTTACATCTCCCTCATTATACCAACTGTTTGTTTGTTTATCTCGCATACAAATGTAACAACTATTTGTGAGCGCCAGGGTCAGTGTTTGAAATACCCTGTGAGTAGAGTTCTGTCGCGTGGTACAGTTTAGCTACCATATGCGAGGTGTGCTCGATAAGTAAGTGTGACTGAATCGAATGCACTTATTCACTTCTTATCGATGACAAACATGCAAAACATCATGCGTAATCGATTATTGAATCAAACTTTGCCTCCGACTTGTGTATTTGTGTAACGTCATACTTATTTCTTGAGTACACCACGTCTATGTATGCGAGTCCTTGCTGCATCATGTGATCTTGTGTTAAATTCGCTGTTTTACTCGAGTTGGAAGGACTATGTCGGAAGAAGAAGGAGAAGAGGAAATAGAAGAATCGATTATTGCGCAACCATTTATTTGTACTTAAGTCTCTCTGTCTCTTTCTCTCTGTCTCTGTCTCTCTCTCTCTGAGCGACAATTACTAATCTTATTAAACAAATCAAAACAAAAAACAAACCATATCCCTCTACAATACTATCCATTACCCCTAAGTCCACTCAGCATCCAGTATTCTAGTGCTCCCATAGCTGGCCAACCAGCTAGCTGTACCTGTGTTCCCGAATCCCGAATCACCAAACAACAGCTGCCAATGGGGCAGCTCTTTGTTCTAATCTACCAATGTTAAGTATCAATCCAAATGCCACACACACACGCACACACACACTCGCACCCACACTCTCTCTTTCACACATAAACCTATTTTATTAATTCCCTACATTTGTCAAAAAGTCGATTTATGCAACATATGTATGTATACATATGTACATATGTATATATATTGTATAAGGCGTAACATCTAAAAAATTGTGTGTTTACCCGCCCTACTTACCCTGATGCACACACCCCCAAATGCCCCAAATGCCCCACCCGCCTACCCTCCAAAAGCACATTTGAAATCTGGTATATTTTGGTTGTTATCTTAACCCCCAACCAAATCAATCGAATCGCATCACACACACAGGCAACAAAAGGTGCTGCTGCGTTTGAGTTTGAAAAAAAGAGACACTAGTGACAACAGAAATTTAGAGTGCTTGGTGCTCGCTGCACCAGGTCAAACAAAATAACAAAAATTACAACAAAAACAAAAATATTACTAAAAACACATTTTATATACAACAAATCAATCAGGCCAAAACATGTTTCAAAATTTTGCTAAAAAAAAAAAAACAAAAAAAAAAAACAAAACAATAAACGACTAATTGGTTTTTAAAGTTATTCAAAAATATTATAAAAGAAAAAAAAAAAAAAACAAACAAAAAATTACGACACATTCACAATTGGTAGCGTCACCAAAATTTAACTGTCTAAACACTATTTGTGGTGAGTTCTCACGAAACTCACCACGCAGCAGCCTTAGGGTATGCTACAGAAAATCTTCCTTCGAGCGTAAACGAACGTTAACAACAACAACAGCAACAACTACAAGAAATTTCTTCGAACTCCACAAAAAAACAAAAAAATTGTTTATTGAAATCAAACAAAAATTTGTTTGTGCGCCGCAAAAACTACAAAATTTTCAAGTGAAAATGCAACAGCTAGAAAAATACAACAACAGAAAATTGAAAAACAGTTTTTATTACTATTTTATTTACTCATGTTTTTTGAGAAACCAAAAACCAAAATTAAGAACCAAAAAGCGTTTTTTTTTCAATGATTTTAATGCAAATGCAAATGAAACAGAAACAAGCAAAATTATAAACTATATATTTCGATATATAAATAGCAAAATCAGCAAGTTTTCAATTTGGTTTTGAGCCTGGATTTGTTAGTGTAAAATAATGTAAAATAATACAACAACAAACTAAAAACAAAACACAAAAAACTTAACTCACTAGACAGACACAGACACAGACACAGACACAGTCACAGACAGAGAGACACGGATAAACGCACACACTTCTATATGCACAACTACATGACAAGTACATCCATATATATATATATATATATGCTTGTGTTTGTATGTGTGTGTATGTGTATGTGTGTGTACGTACTAACCACATATGAAGACCACAGACAAAAACAAAAACCCTAAACAACCAGAACAACAATAACAACAACAAAAACAACAACAACAACAACAACAACCAGAACAACAACAACAACAATAGCAACAAAGTCAAATATACAGAAAAGTCACTATTGTCTCTTTTTTTCTTCTCTTCCTATATGACGTATAGGTGGCAGCACCAGCCTACTCAGCGGCGTCATAGTGCCCGGTGGTAGTGACAACCCTAGTAATAGTAGTAACAACCAACAACAACAACAACAACAACAAGTAGAACAACAGCCAACATCACAACACCAACTCCAACAACAACAACTCCAAATCCAACAACAACATCATTCCACACTACATAACCCACAACAACAACAACAACAACAACAACAACTGCACCAAGAACGTGAACGAGAACGTGAACGTGAACGCGAACGAGAACGTGAACGTGAACGTGAGAGAGATAGAGATAGAGAGCGTAGCAGCAAGGCGAGTGATCTACACAGCAACAGCGAGCGCAGCCTCTCACGCTCATCGCAGTGTGGCATCAGTGAGGGCATGGCAATGCATAGCAGCAGCGCAACTCCGTCGCCGAATGCCAGCTACAAGCGTGAAAGGGAGCGAGAGAGGGAGAGGGAGCGGGAACGGGAGCGGGAGCGGGATATTGAAAGAGCACGGAGCAATACGCCGGGCGCAACACCCCCGCCATCACAGACATCGCATCACGGACATCCAGCACCACCGCCGCACTTTAGTCAACATCCGCTGGCTATGCTATCCAGCCATCACCAGCATCAGCTGCACTCGCACCACGAGCTGTCGCCTGGCGCTGCCCATGCGGTGGTTGCTGCACATCATGCGCATGCTCTGGCCCGTGCCGCCTCGCCGCTTGTGGATCGCCACCACTTGCTGCATCAGCACCATCGGCGCGCCTCGCTGTCGCCCTCGGCGTCAGTCAGCAGCGGCGGCGGCGGCCGCGGCTCCGCCGGCAATGCGGCCAGCAATCTGCTGAGCTCAGCGCGCGCCAGCGATGTGGCGCAGGCCAACCGCCTGCTCCTGCCATTGCCGTTGAATGCGTGCCATCGCTGCGATGTGTGCGGCAAGCTGTTGAGCACGAAGCTAACGCTGAAGCGGCACAAGGAGCAGCAGCATCTGCAGCCGTTGAACAACGCCGTATGTAACCTTTGCCACAAGGTCTTCCGCACGCTCAACTCGCTGAACAACCACAAGAGCATCTACCATCGCCGGCAGAAGAATCACCACTCGTATTTCCATCACAGTGGCGGAGTCGTTGGCCAGGCGGGCAGTCCCGGCAGTCGGCTGCATCAGTCGCTTAGCTCGCTGACCGCTGCCGCAGCTGTGAACAACAGCGTCGGTGGCGGTGGCGCCGGCGGCAATGCTGTGGCTGCTGCTGCGGCTGCCGCTGCGGCTGCTGCGGAGCTGCTGCTGTCCCCGATTGTGGGCGCCGCTGCTGTCGCCGGGGGTACGGCCAGCTCGACGCTGCAACTGGCGGCGGCGCATCAGCAGCAGCAGCAACAGCAGCAGCACCAGCAGCAGCAGCAGTCCTCGCCGAACATAGTCAAGCCATGCATAGACTTCTTATAAGATCAGCATCAACTCTTGCAGCAGCTGTTCCATGTTGCACTCAACAACTCAGCAGCAGCAGCGGCGGCAGCATCGGCCTGCCAGCCCCAGCCTGGCGACTACGTCGGCCAGCAGGTGGGTGCCACGCCAACGGTTGATCTAACCCAATTGGACCAGGGCAGCGGCGGTGTCTATGCGGCGGCGGCCGTAGCAGCGGCAGCTGCGGCAGCAGCGGATGGGGGAGTTCCAGACCTGCGTGCCCTTCATATGCACCAGCAGCAGCAACAGCAGCAGCAGCAGCAACAACAACACGGCCATTTGGCCCATATGCATCCACACTCCCACTCCCTGCCACACCCACATCAGCATCAGCACCAGCATCCGCACCAGCATAGCCATACTCATGCCCAGCATCATCATCGCTATGAACGAATGAATTTATTAGACCAATAAGCAGAGCGCTCAAATGAATACTACACAATCGTGACGTCATCGCCCGATGAGCCCGTTCACATAACATACATACTCACACACTCGTAGGAAATCGGAGGATATACGACAAAAGAGGAGGGAGAGAGAGAGACGAAAGGAGATAGCGGATAGCGGATGATCTACTACTGAATGCAAACATACAGATTGAGGAGGACAGAGCGGATAATCTTGTACTGAATCTATATACATAGATATACATATATAAATATACATACATACATAGACGCACACGCCCACACACTCACACACATGCAAAATTGCATACACTTTGGATCTCAACATGGCGGAAAACTGCAATAATTAAAATTAAACAAAACAAAAAACAAAATGTTTCGGCAAGCAACAACTCAAATGGAACAACTAAGAAGAAGAGGATGTAGAAGAAGAAGAAGATAAAACATGTTTAGGCAAATGAATGAAAAAACTGTGATTTTTTACAAAAACTTGATTATAAATATAAAAAACATAAATGAAAAAGAAAAAAAAAAAAAAATATGAAAAATCAACACAATTTACGTCTTTGAAAAGGATGCGATAAAAAAAATTGTAATTAAATAAAAATTGAGAACGCGCAGTTTTTTTTAATGGAAAAAACTGAATTTGGCTAAGCCAAAATGCAATAGGGTTTTTTTTTTTTTTTTTTTTTTTTTTAAGTGTAGGAAAACTGAATGAGAATAGCGTGGAAAACGAGGGAAGCGTAAAAGACTGTTAACGAAACAAACGAAGTAACAGACAGACACAGCACATACACATGCACGCACATGCTGCATTCATTCATAAGAATAAGAATAATTTACCTCTTGAGTATTAATCATGTTATCCGCAACACTCACGCGACAAAGAGACAGATAGATACGATGATTCATTACCACAGGCCCACAACGACCAGCAGTATGTATATATATCTATATATATATATAGGTACATGAATAGGGTTGATTTGTCATTATTGTAGCAGCTTCCATATTCCTAAATGACAAACAACAAACTGAATTTTGTATCTCATAAACAGTTCTTTGCAAACACTACTTATTTACACACTACTTTACAACACTAGTTACTTTAACACTTTCCGTTTTGACAATACTGCTTGTTGGCCGGCAACAGCAAAATATGCAACATACAACATGCAACATATTAACTAACATTCAATGTACAACAAACTATCCACGCGTATGCTCAATTTTTTTTTATATTCATATATGTATAATATATGTATATATATATATATATATATATATATTTATATTATACATATTCTTTTTTTTTTTAATTTTTTTTAAACATACTCACATAATTATATAAATATATACTATATATATACACAAGCATTTAGACTTAAAATCAATGTAAAAAAAAACAACTAATATATAAATATATATATATATTATAAACCACTTGTAGTAGTATTTAGTCTTAAGCATAACTGTGTGTGTGTTTTTTTTTTTGTAGCTATACACTGAAAACTATGGAAATAATAATAATTATGCATATGTGTACAATATATCGATAATAATAATGGAGAGAATGTAAATCAATGCATACATATATCAGATGTACATGTTGACATATAAGAAAAGCATTAGTCGATTTTCAATTTATTCGACAAATTACACAGCGAGAAAAATGCTATGTATAATTTGCACATCAATCTAAGTATATCTAAAATCAAGAATTGAAATTGTATAAAGTTCTGTATATACACAGATATAGCTACGTAAACTACATATACACAACGACGGATTTTACATTTTGTAGCCTTCGATCATCAAATTGGTTCGAAGATAAACCAAAATTTTATTTAACAATATATACACATACATATATGCATATGTATGTATGCGTGTATATTAAGGACTTTTGGCAGAGATTTTCTTAGGTTCAAAACGGATAAAGCTAGAAGGACTGATAGTTTTTAGGCACAACCCAAATGGCGAATTGCAAATTAATCCAAAATTATTATAAGAGATCCAAATTATGTTCATACATTTTTATTAACCTGGTGTAGAAGAAGAAGAAGTATGGCAATTTAATTGCCCATCCTAACGGGACGACGTGTTTTGTTTCCAGTAACTCTCAATTGGCACATAAATAAATCCGAAAAGATACTAATTGAAATGGAACTCATGAATGTATAATCAAAATGAATTCGGACTAAACGACGTATTTTTAGACTTTCATTTGCATTACATATTGATTTTTAAAGACTGAACTTTTGAAGTATCCTTAAAACAAAACAACAAAAACAATTGAAAGCAATTGAAAGAGGGAGAGGAGGAAAGAACGAATAGCATTATTGATAAGCGTGCAATTTCGGAATAGTCGACGAACAACGTGAATACTGTACATCATTTAGCCCTTTGCTTACATCAGTGCATGCATATGTATATATGTAAATGGATATGAAATATGTTACTATGCATGCATCAGATGAAGTACATCTACATTTTAATGTTCATATTTTTCTCAATAAAGTTTACTCGTGGTTTTATGCATCATACATGATGTACATGGGAAGCAACATATGCAAATGTATATACGTACATACTTACATTCATACATACATAAATATGTAGACCGTGTAGTGAAATTTTATTTTTTATGCATTTTTACATACATATGTATATGTATATACATATATACATAGCTATATCCATGTGAAGATAAACGGTACTCGTTGAGAGAGTGAAAACTAATTTTTTTTTGGCACAACGAAAAGTCTGAGAAATCGTTTTAATTTGTATATATATATATATATATATATATATATATATATATATATATATACCCAACTGATGTTTATACTATTCTACTATTATTATAATTATTATTATTATTATATATAATTCTTATTTTGTATACCAAATTTTATGAACGCAAAGTTTTAGGCATTACAAATAAGTTTACAAAAACAATAAGAAAACCTTCGATTACGCAGGAATGTGATTGATTGATTGATTGATTGTTGACTGATGGCTCAACCATTACAGCCTTATCGCAAGATATATATATCTTATTACTTATTATTCTGAAATTGTGTCATAAGCATTTCAATTGAATATCTTTTTTTTTTCACATAGCAAATGCCCAAAAAAAAAAAAAAAAAAAAAAAAAAAAAAAATAAATAAATGAAATAAAATAAAGGATATGGAGAAAAAACTATGAGTGTAAATATCAAAAAGCAAATACTAAAAAGAAGTTTTATTTACAGCTACAAAAACAAATGATAAACAATAGAATATAAGATAAATGCATACTTTTAATACGGTTTACATCAAATTTACATACCTAGTTCATAGCCGTGTACAGATATATATATATAATATATAATTCAATTTGCACAATGCTCTCCACTTTAAATGTTGTTTGTATGATTAGAAACGATGCATAGACCGAAACAAAAACATAGAAAGAAACTACAAAAACTATATTTCAATCATTGTATTTTTATTTATGTTAACAGGTTACTCCATAACAAAACAAAAACATAAATATATCTATATAAAATTAAATAAAGAAAAATACACAGTATTCAAATTTTGAGCTAATCCAAGCTAAAGTAAAACCATAAGGCATCAAAAACAAAAAAACAACTAAGCATATAAATATCATACTCGAAAAACATTAACAGAAACATTAACAGTAATAGTAACAGAAACACTAACAGTTATTTACAGTGACCGTAACAGTAAGAGCAATGAAATCCATAGTAAATATGTTCTCTGTTTTCAAAAAGAATAAGAGGTAATAAATGAGTACCGTTTCGTTTCTCCAGCTTTAAAATAGTTACTTAAAATGCTTTCCCCAGTCCATTTTAAGCAAAACAATATATATAATATATATGTATATATACATATATGTTTATTCAATGAAACATTAGCTCCAAGCCGCACTCTTTATCACATATATAAATATATTGCTTACAATAAACTATAATTACAGTACTACAATACATCCCATAGAGAAAGCAACTACAACAACTTAAATAGAGCAACAGTAACTAACGACAACAGCCGATATCATATACTACTACTTGAGTATAAACATAATCTATGAACATTTATAACAAAGAATCAGTGGAGTGTTAAACTCAAACTGAAACAAAAGGCAAATCGAGTGAGAGAATAAACAAAGTTTGGGAATTGGGCTAGAAAAATATCAAAAATAGGTCGACAAATTCATAACAGTAACAATAACAGCAATAGTAACAGTAACAGTAACAGTAACAAAAACAGCAAAGGTAACAGTAACAGCAAGAGTAATAGCAGCAATAGAAAATATTTGTTCTCTGCACTCGACTGTCCACTCAATTAATACATATATACTTTATGTATCACAAACATATATAATTGTATTAATGAATACAGTATACAGTATATATATACACTCAGTATATATATGCAATCAATAAATAATAAACGTAACTTGGATTCATTTACACACACTCATCTCTCAACTGCAATCAAGGTAAACTCTTGAGTTTCTGCTTCTGTTCGAAATAAAAGCTAATTCTCAACATTTGTATATATGATAAATGAAGTAAACCTATTTCAAAAAAGTCATTTAGTAAATGAGAAACAAACTAAACACAAAATAAATATATGAATTTCGATTAAGGAACAAAATAAAATACTTTTATGTAAATGTCAAATAGACAAACCTTAAGTAAAACGAAAGAATGAAATTGAAAACCAAACTGAGAAATCCTTTAATTCATAAATTCGTAAAGTTTATAACGAAAACAAGAAAATGAAAGTAAATATTTTCATAAAAATAAAAACAACAACAAAAAATGTGTTATTATTTAAATAAAAATTCAATGTGTACATAAAATGCAACTTGCCACAATTTGCTTTCATTTACGTTCAACCATGTGGCTTATCTGCTCAGCCGGAACCCAGATGAGCTGACCACCTACATACATATATATCCACTCATATGTATATATGTATGTGTATTGGGATTGCTCTCAGCTATTGCTGTAGTCGGCTAGGCCAACCGATTTGAGAGCTAATCGTTGTTACTTTATACTTATGTTAGTCAAATGTGCTTTTGGACTTAGCAAGATTGAGGCCTTTGCGGGTGAGGCTTGACCAATGAATACGACATACCTTTCTGTGTATACGCGAGCGTGTGCATGTGTGTGCGTTTTAAGAGGGTTTACCTAACTAAAAGCGTTTTGAGCTACGTACGTTGTCATACATTCCCATCATCTCTAGGCATATATACTCTCTCTCTCTTTCTTTCTTCTTCTCTGTATCTCTCTCTTTCCTCTAACTGTATGTCTTTTTCTCTTTATTACTTTCCTCTCCTCTTTTATATCACTTTGTGTTGTATGTGTACGCTTATATATGACAGGGTAAACATATACATAATCGTACAAGTACTATATATATACATATATATGTACATACATATATGCATATATATGTATATAAACACTGCACTAACAATGTTGAACTACTATACGCTCATCTATGTAACTATGTCTATGTCTTTATTGTTCAAGTGAATGGTGCGCAGAGCCTTATCTAATCCATTGCACTAAAACGAGTTACTTTTAGTCCAAAGTCTCTACTTACATGCCATATACGCAAACACATACTACTGCCATCTCTATATGCAAAAGCACATTATACAAATACCAAATGACACTCCTACATTGTGCTAAATGAATTTGTTGGCCCCACCGTCCCACCGTCCCACCGCTACCTGCCCCAGTACCCGTCCCCGTCCTCG